AAGGGACGTGTGTATCAAGCTACAGTACGGGCTGTTTTGTTGTATGGCTGTGAGACTTGGCCTATTCGAGCAGCGGAACTGAGACGTCTTTAGGTGTTCGACAATCGTTGCCTCAGAACCATAGCTCGTGTGAGTTGGTGTCGGCGAATCCGTAATGAGGCAGTTAGAAAGCGCGTCTTCGGCTGTGTGACGGGTACTTCCATTGAGGAATGTGTCCAGCAACAGAAGCTGCGTTGGTTGGGACATGTGTTACGTATGAAGGAACATCGTTTGCCGAAGAGAGTACTGTTTTCCATGCCCAATTCGGAGTGGTGTAAACAGAGAGGGGGTCAACCATTGACTTGGCAGATGAGTATGAAGGAGATCACGAAACGCTTGGGTGCTGTCGGTGCTACTCGCCTTCCAGGATGGAGACCGCATGATCCTCACTGTGCCTGGTTGGAGACACTACAAGTTATGGCTGCCAACCGATGTCAGTGGCGTTCTTGTTGTCCGTTTCTATCCAGATTGCTTGAGTGAATGTCTGGAGGTGTAGGTACTTTGGAATGATTGTGATAAGCTAGCACTAAGACCCCCCGTCCACCTTTACTCTTTTCTTAACAGTAAGGCTTTCAAATAAATCATGGTTGTACGGCAGTGAAGCATCGGTGTTCAACACTGATGTCATGCTGTCGATGATGATGATGATGAGATTCTAATGTCTGTGGGGTCTAAGTGATCCCGGGGAATTTGTTCACAGATATCAAGTGCGCAGACGACATAGGTGCTCTTGGATCTGACTCCGTAGTAATGCAGGCAGTATGAAATAACCCAAATAATTCTACCTCATGGTTTGGCAGGCGCTTCACACATGCAGAGTTTAAAGTGCTACTGCAAGACTTATTGCGCTAGAATCCTTACATCATGCTTGTAGATGAGCTGATCGTGCTAGTAGACAAGTTTTTTTTCATCTGGGAAGTGGTATCAGTCCCGGTGGTCTGGTGAAAGATGATATTTCCATCCAGATTGGGAAGGCCAGGGCAGCTTTTGTGAATCTGCGCACGTAGGCGTGACATCAGTTTATCCGTCAAGGGTCAAGTTTAGGATGCTGCGGTGCGTTCCATACTACTATACGGATCAGAAACCTGGACGTTGCGCGCTGAGGACATCAAAAAAACCTTCGATGTTTGACCACTGATGTCTTCGGAGCATCGCCCGATTCTGGTGGGAACACCGGATCAGCAATTCTGAAGTACGTCGAATGGTATTCGGAAGAAATAACTCACTCTCGACAGATGAACTGATCAGACTACATCGGTTTCGCTGGCTTGGCCACGTGCTGCGTATGCCAGTCGACCGACTTCCTCGAGAGGTACTTTTCGCTCAACCACGTGGAGGGTGGAAACGAGGCCGAGGTGGTCGAACAATGAGTTGGCAGCGAAGTATAAAAGCCCTTACCAGCAAACTCAGCTGCACCGGTCATTACCGTCTACCTGGATGGCGAACCCGAGACGGGCCACATCAATGGTTGGAGACACTGTCAGACATGGCCCAGTTGCGCCCTCAATGGTGCTCGTGCATTGAATCAATGCATACCTCCCTTCCCGATTCTCCCTACTTGACAGTCCGCCGACAGCACTGTATTCATGCACGAATTTATC